TCTGTTTTCTGTTAACAGATTAAATGGATTAGCTAACTGATCTGTTAGACCACAAGACTGTCTAACAGCTGTTTTTCCACCGGCTGAGAGGCTCTGCCAACCACTGCAGACTCATACGAAGCTCAACCAACCCCCACAGCATCCTCTCGCACACCAACACAGATAAACACACACCAACCTCAGCGGCAAACCTGTGACATGTACCGTGCTGCTGATGGAATTATTCCTATTACCATCTCTTCTATTTTTGCTGTAGGTATTATTAGTATTTGTCTTCTGTATATTCTTAAATGAAATGATGATTCATACAAATGCACAATAACTCATCAACACTGTTGTTAGCAACAAACACAGCGGACCGGCTGTTCCAAAGTCATCAAAACAACTTCAAAATGTAATATATACAGGAGGGTATTCACAATGAAGCATGAACGGCAAGTTCTGCTGTTCAAATGTTTATCACCGTCCCATGTGTTTAAGTAGGAGTGGGGGATCTGACGTGAATGATCTCACTTTGGCATATGATCTGCTCTTCAGATGAATCATGAAGCATCAAAGCAGCGGAAAGATACGAATCACAACTTCCGTTTCATGACTTTCACAATAAAAATCAAGCAGGCAGATCGTGTTAAGATCATGGAGTGCGATTCTACTCAAAAAGATTGTCACATGATCTTTCAGCCAGACCCCCACCCCTATGTTAAAAAAAAAAAACTTGTTATTTCTGATAACTTGAGAGGGAGGAGTTAATCAGCCTCAGTCTACTGCGGGTGTTACAGCGGGTTCTGTGACCTGCGGCAACATTCAGTTCAGAGCGTCCTGCAGCAAAACATCAGAGATTTATTCAACTGATATCCACTGGATGATGAAGTAGGATGAATATTTCTTTCAATGTGTTGTATATACTTGTGCAGCTGAGACACAGCCGCCCCCCCCCCCCAGCTGAGGTCACAAACCAGATAGGAGATATGTGATGGACGCCCTACAGCTCAGCAGAAAGCAGAACATCCGCATTTTTAGGTTTGATGGTTAATTAACATGGCTACCAACTGTGTTATTAACGTGATTAGAAGGAGCTAGATTCTTAAATATCAAATTATATTCTTTGCTATGCTCAACAGTTGAAATATTGTTTACTGTGCAATGAAATAAACACAGGACTTTTTTTTTTACTAAGAGATGTCTTCATTCCGCATCAAATAAATTGCTTCAATAGATTCTATTGTTGACACACTGCACACTCAACCTGATGCCTCTTGCATTTTACTGTCTTAGTTTTGGTCTTTTTTATTGTACTTCTTCTTTGTACAGTGTAAGCTGCAGCACAGAGGGGATGCAGTTTTCATTCCCCTTTGTACTGACTTCTGTATATGGAGGGAATGACGATAAATTCCACCTTGAACCTCAAAATTCTCCCGTGTTAAAGCACTAATGCATCATGGGAGTCAGTCAACACATATCTCATTATTCCACATTAGCCACACTTATGTATAATACTGTACTGTTTATACCAGACTGTTTATTTCATCTTGTGCTGCAGTTTGTCCACCTCTTACTGTTCAACCTTTTGCATCTGAATAGAAAGGAAACCAACACAAAGCCTAGCTGTAACCGTGACCCTGTGGGCCTTCATTTCTCCCATCATGCCTTGCATGTCTTGATGATTTGATTTGGTGCAGGTAGTCAACATGAATCTGGACTTTGAAACTGGAACAAACAGGACACGCTGAGGACGTTATTGAGGGCACACCCTGTCAGAAAGCAGGTGTGAATCGTAGGTGTTGCATGTGGTATATGTCAGCGCATATTTGCTCTGCACATGAGCACATTTTCACATTTCATACGTCCTGCAGATGATTAGAAAGATAGGACACACACACTGACAGGGTTCAATGCATTGTATGTAGTCAATCACACAATATCAGGGTCAATTAAACTAGGGCTGAATGGTATGCAAAAAAAATAATGTTGCATTTATTTTGGCAGATATTGCGATTCTGGTATGAGTCGCAATTTCAGTTAGAATGGTAATTTTTGCATTTCATTTGCACTGAAAAAAAAAAAAATGATGAAGATGTGATTTTTGTTGGGGCTTGTACCAAACAAGCATGTTCCTTCATCTCTGGAGAAAAAGATTTGAAGGCGACCGTGTCTCTATAGCACCGCAATGCTTTGTCTATGGTTTGTTTTGACACAATTTACCTGCGATTTGGATATGGCACTTGGCCATACTGCCATTTCGATAATATTTCGAATAAATGTCACTTGGTTCTCTGGGATATTGTGATCAATCATTTTTCAACGTTTACTGTTGATTTATAAATCAAGCGACTCATCTACTACGCCGCAAAATAATCACCAGATTAATCGATAATGAAAACAAGAGTTGAAGCCCTGCAATTAACTACAAATATCAAAAATAATTATAAATGTCCCAAGAGCATAATAAACACAGTAATCAAATTTTAATGCAGGAAAACACATTGGAAACAATTACTAGCATTTGTGAAGCTGCAGCCTGTTGATAATACTGAAAACATACCCAGCTTTGTCCTTTCTGGATCACTTAGAAAAGAACAACCTAACTTGTCTAATGTTTTCTTTCCATTAGGTGTAAATGTCTATTGTGTTTTTTTTTTTTTTTTTGTCTCCTATGCAATAGCTCTTGCTGCTCCATTGACCCACTTTTCTCACAGGGATCATTAAAGTTTCATCTAATCTGATCTAATCGAGTTTATTGCCCGACTTAAGAGGACCAACAACAGAGCAGTTAAATACATCTTATCATCAGGGGGTAAATCTCACCTACCTCACTGTTTGACGATCAAACTTAATTAGAAAACTTCCTAAAGTGGCTCATGTTAACAGCCAACATTTAGCAGCATTTAGATCGAAGACTGGTAGTTATTTTGTACTTCTGTTCGTCTCTGGTTGGTTCTCACATGACAATAATTTAAATGTGAGTTATAATCAGGGTCCCAAAATGAGATTTGCTGCTTTAGTCTGAACCCAGTGTGAATAAATGAGTGATCCTCTTGACTCACCTGCTTGTTGTGGAAAAAAGTGGCTCAGATGTGGGAGCACCTGTCTGCAGTCTATAACTTATACGTGCATGCTCACTCACTTGTTGAGGTCACACATACAATATGTGGTATTTAATTTATACTTTATGCCCATTTTTTAGCTCCATGACCGGATTAACCTCCTTGGGGGGCCCTTGGGCAAAAATCTGTTATTGGGCTCCTTTTGACCTTATTATACATGACAGTGTAATTTCTTTTCTCCAGAAACCCAGAAGCCAACCACTACTCCAGAGTTGAAATGATTAGTTGATAAACCAATTGGTTGATTGACAAAAGAAATGAATTAGCAACAATTTCTTTAGCAAAAAAAAACAATTTTTCCTTTTTCACACTTTTCTGACTCTTTACAACCTGAATAACCAGTCAGTTATTACAAATAATTGAAGATTGATCATCAAAATCATTGTCGGGTGCAGCCTTACAGTTCTCCTATGATGGAATAATATGCCCTTATGGTTTTCTGTCTCTTATTGACTTCACACACAGAAAAATATGGACACGATTTGACAAAACACAACTTTACAACAAATGAGCTCAATATAAACTATATAAGTTCATGTCTTAAAAGATTTTATCACTGTGAACTTCTACAAAGACTCTCTCTCAAATTAAATGGAAGGCAATTGGACTTGTATTAGTCTGTGGAAGACGTTTCGCCTCTTATCCAAGCGGCTTCATCAGTTCTTATGTATTGGTCTCTCTAGTCCGCACTAGTCTGACCAAGAAAGTGGAGTAGGACCCAGGTATTTTTCTACAAAGACCTACGCCACAACATGGAGGATGGATGACCTGTCAGAGTTGATTCCTGATACATTTTTTTATTAATCAAATTATGTAGACCCAACTTGTATAGAGTAAACATGGGGCTTTCAGGGGCCCCAGGGCAGTTGCTTTGATTAGCTTCTGTATGTGAGCAGATTTGTTTTGCTCTGCATTATGATAATGCATTTCTTTTAGCATATATCCCAGAATATAGAGCTGCAACAGTTCGTGGATTATTTTATTAGTCGATTGACAGAAAACTACTTTGATAATCAATTAATTGTTCAGAAGGAATTTAAAAATAGTGATTTCACCTTCTAACGTGTAAATATTTTCTAATTTCTTTAGTTATCCGTGATAGTAAACTGAAAATCATTATAGAGAATCAACTGAGACCATAACTGACAGATTAATCGATAATAAAATTAAGATTTCGTTAAAGCCCTCCAAATACAACAGTTAACCTAGAAGCCATTTTAACAAGACACATGTCAACACATGACAATAAAATGCTAGTATTGTAAAGTGAAAGAATAGGAAGAAGAGAGGAGACATGTGGTTGTATTAATGTGTGGTCACGCTTCCACCCACTGTGTTTAAGATAAACTGACATATCCGGAGGAAACGCACACAGATACACACAGCGTAACCACTCTAACACACTTCTCACACACAATTCAACAACTAATCACCAAATAAAACCCTTCAGGAGCGAAATATGGAGGAAAACAATAACCGTTAACGTGTTTTTCTAACGTCCCTGGGTGCCTCGCCTCGTCCCTGACGTGCATCCACACACCCGTTTTTACACCCGGCTCGCTTTTTTATCGCTGAAATTTCAATTTACATTCTCTTCTAGAGGTGTTAAATGTTTACTCACCCCAGTCTTCGCTGGTCAGAAGGTTATCAGCGAAGAATCGGCTGTCCAACTCCGATAGTAATTCCGTGCTCATCGCCACAAAGGCGGTGTGTTTGGAGACTCAGATAGCAACGTGATAACGGCTAACAGAGACCGAATACCGCCTCTACCTTTAGCATTAACAGAGCTGGCTGATAGTAGGCAAGGATTTCATTTATTGTTTAAATTAGGAGGGTTTTCCTCTATCGGAAAAGTGACAATTTTGTTCAGTTTGTGTCTCCCGAAGGATTTATCGATCTTCCCTTCTGCTTCGCATATGACAGACAAGGAAACGTTTTTTCCAGAAAGTTACCGCCCACTTTCACAAGAGCAGCCAATGACAGTAAAGACTGGTGTGATAGACTCGAGGAAGGACCAATGAGATTACTCAATGAGCCTATCGTTGAGGGGGTTTTAAAGATGATTTGGCCCAATCCAACGGTCGCATTTTGATTGTCAGGCAAAGTCAGCTAATCAACACGAGGGAATCATGGCACGTGTTTAATTGACAAGCACAGTAGCCAATCACAGTTTGTCCGAGCAAAAAAAAATGTTTTTAGTGAAAATCACGTTGATTCGAGCATTACGAAAATAAAACAACATTCTCTCGTTCTTTACGACATAATAAAGTAAATAATAAAAACAGATGGTTTATACAACTAAACCAAGCAACACTCTGACTTTATAAAACAGTCTTGCTGCTCATACTTTTATTATTTTTCCTAATTGTTTGAAATTATGAGGGGAAGTTATTACATAACTCCAGATATAGGTGAATGAGGACAGAGTGAAACACCAGCAGTAGCATTAACCCTCTAAGTTTGGCTTTATAGTTTGTTTTTAAATCAAAAAAAGTCCACATGAGGATGGGGTAGGTGTGCACTGCAGAATGAATATTTAATTGGTTGACAGACCTGCAGCTCGCGTTTGAGTTTTTGGTCCTAAAAAAAAAATAATAATAGAGCGCCATCTAGAAATAGTGACAGAAATTATACACACGTTCACATGATATATTACAGAAAAGAAAATTATAGGATATCCATTACTTTCAGGTCGTGGTTAATTAAATGATGATGATAATAATAATAACGATGATAATAATAATAATAATAATAATAATAATGATAATAATAATAATAATAATAACAATAATAATAATAATAATAACTTTATTTGTAGATGCTGCCTCAAAAACATCCAAACTTATGTTATTGAACTAGAACAAATCAAACAATTACTTAAAATGACTAAGAATAATACCATAAAACACTGAAACCAATAATAACAATTTGAAAGATATTATGATAAAGTTATAACGTTATATAGAGAGGAGAGCCAGGCCAGCTAATTCCCCTTTGCCTCCTACAAAGCTATGCTAGCATGTTAGCATGTTCAGGTGAAAGTAACATTCAAGAATTTCCTCCACTGAAAAAAACATGTTATTTTGTCTAAAAGGGCCTCTGACAAAGAAAGAGATCAGGCCAGAGCATAGGCAAAATGGAAATGGGGACTACCAGCTAAAATTCTGGTCGGCTGGTTGATTGTCAAGTATCCATAAAGTTTTAAAATTTAAAGTTTAAAGTCTTTACCAGCTCTGTCAGTGCCATTCGTGCGACCCGTCCCAGCAAATAAGTCCAAGGCTGAATTTCTTTCCCAGTCCAACCATGGAGCCAATACTGGTTTGGCTTTACCAAGATGGAGAACCCCTTCGAGCTGCTGAATGGCTCCAGCTTGATTCAGAACTGTTTTTTCTTCCCCTCAGTGTCTAAGTAACTTGTCTGTTTTCATTTGTAACGGCTACAGTAGACATGATAATGTTAGCTATGGGCCCGGCTCTAGGCATGGGCACGGGGGGGCCCCACCAAATTGTCACGCTTCATCCCAAAATCTTAAAAATAACTGAAAAGTATTTTATTTTGTCCTTGTCCATTTGACCAATCATAAACATGCCACATTCAAATAATCACAGTTTATTTATATATCTGAGTGGTTGGTCTGGTCATATACAACTGCATCCAGTGAGCAGAGCAGTTGCTTCGCCATCACTTCACTTCATCACCACTCAGTTGCTTATTCTCTGGGTACCAGCGTAATTGGCCTGCCTGGTTTTATTGATCTGACAGATTTTTTTGGCTAATTACAAATTGTGGTGTTTGTTATTATTTATTGTCAATCATTTGCAATCAACTTTTAGACATAGTGGTTTGAATATAAATACATTACAGGCTTATGTACTATTCGATTGTATGGCTTTAATTTTAGATAACTTAAAACAGTGTATATTATAGCTTACAGTCTTAAAGGACACTCATAGAGGACCTCAGTAACCTGTCTTGAAGTTTGGCAGTTAGTGACCAGTCAACATCTCTTAATGCCCCTCCCCCCTATCGAAGCAATCTAGAACCAGGCCTGGTTGCTAACTTGCTGTTACCCTTATTATGAACTTGCTATTGCTAGCTGGCTAACTGTTGTGTGTTTAGTGATGCTTTTAATCAAGTACAGTACTGAAGTACAATTTTTAGGTCCTTGTGCTTTACTTGAGTATTTTCATTTTGTACTACATAACAGTTAATACTAATACTACACAAAATTGCAGAAAGAAATATTGTACTGATGTGAATAGAACTTGTGGGTGTGAAGACTGGGGCAATGCCTTGATGTCAACTTCAACTTTATGATGTCCACCAACTGAAGTTGCTGCACAAAGATATTAAAGCAATATTCATTGAAATATTTCACCAGTAAACTTGTTGCAGACAACAGTGTAATTTATATAAGATGAGGCTGTAGTTACATTGGTGGAATATGCATAGGCTACTTCTAAAATTTAATTCTCGGTATTTGTTGTTGGTTAAAAATACTGACCTGCTAACTTACATCGACCACAAGGAGACACTGGGCTGTGTTGAGGATGTGTATTTGTGTTTGAGATAAACACGTATCTGGCCACCCAGTTCCTGTTCTCAGTCTTAAGAGAAGGTTGGATATTACTGTTTGAACTGAATCATTTCAGTCTGTCAGGATGAGGGTGAATATCTACAGCTACCTGTTAGCCTTTGTTCTGGGCTGTAATGTCACTGCAGGTAAGACCTTTTATTCTGGTTGATATATTGATTATTGATTACACTTGTTTCACTTGTTCAGTTGAACACAGCCACAGGCTGAGAACATAAAACAAACTTGTTTAAAGTGTATTTATTTAATGGACTCTTAATGATATGTGTAGATATTGTCATAAAGTGCTGCAGCACTGAAGAGTGAGGTCTTTACATGTTCTGGGTTTGCAGACTGTGTCAGTGATGTTTGATAAAGTTGATTTATCATGTAAAAACACCAATTAACACAGATTCAATGTCCTCTCACTGCATTAGACAGTTAAATGTTACATTTCTTGATTATTTTAAATTCTTTGTGTTTTGCAGGAACAATCCGTAAAGTATCTGAGGAGAAACAGCAGGTCACTCTGTCTTGTCCTCGACCTGTGGAGGGTACAGCGACATGGAGCAGAGAGATTAATGGAAACAAAGTTGACTTACTTTACTTACTTGACTTACTACACTCAATGGTATAAAGGAGATCAGACACAATGACCCAGGCAGAAGATACAGTTCACAGGCAGATAAATTTAAGTCACTGGTCATTCTCAGAGCTGTTGTCTCAGACTCTGGAACATACTTCTGCAACAATGAAGCAGCTGCAGAACTGACGGTGATCCCATCAGGTAACATCAGACTTTATCAAAGTTATTCTGTTTTCTGTTTTCTCTGTTTTTCAAAGACCAAATTTCCTCTTTACCTTTGAAAGGTTTCCCTTTGTCACACATCAGTACTGTAAAACATTTATATGTGAAATTAAACTTCCTAATAATGAAATGCTACATTTCAAATGTAAATGTGTAACTGTAAAGTATTATGCAACATCTCGCCAGTGTTGTTTTGAATCTCGATGCAATTTAAAGTTGAGTTTTCACATTTTTGTTTTTACACTTTGTTTTTGTGAGGATGAAACAAACATGATATGATGTGTTACTCAGTGAGCTTTAGAGCCGCCACTAAGTGGATTTTTTGTACAATTGACAGAGCCATGCTAGCTGTTTCCCTGTTTCCAGTCTTTTGCTAAGCTAAGCTAACCAGCTGCTGTCTGTAGCTTCATGTTTAACTTACAGTCACCAGTGGTGTTAATCTTTTCATTTAAATTTGTGTTACCTCGCTAACCTCAAATCCTGCTTCGTAGTACAGGCCCGAGGTCACAGACATGTAGAAGGTCCCCCACCCTCTGACATGGAGGCAAGACACACAGACTGAAAGTGACACCACACAACATTTTGTTGTGACAACACTATTGTTGACACCTTGTCACAAAAATAGAAGTGTTCCACGTCCTGTTTTTTGTTTTTAGAAATATTGAATGATTTTTTTTCTTAGTTACTGTGAACTACAGTTTCTGTCTTTTAATATATATTTTACCTTCTCCATACAAAAGGGAAACGACCACCAACAACAACTGAACCACCATCAACAACAACACCACTTACAACAACAACACCATCTCCACCAGGAAACACAGGCAGAACTATAATAAAAAAACATATTAGTTCTAAGAAACTGAGAAACAACAAGAGCATTTGAATGAATCAGATCTAAATGATGAATGTTTGCTAAGTTTTCACAATCTTCTAAAGGATATTTTAAGAAGACCAGACCAGTGTTACTGGGTTGTCTGACTTTCCAGTTCTTTGATCCTCATGTGACCACTAATGGTGTCAAACCTTTATTGTTGGATTGATCCTATGAACTGTGGTGCGATGCTCGATGTTTACAGTATTATGTCTTCCAGCTTCTCCTTACAGCAAAAGCCTGTTCGCATGCTGCTTGGAATACTCTATTTAATCGCCATGATCAGCATCACTGTCGTTACCTGGAGAAAAGGTGAATATAGTTTGACCTGCGTTTGGTTTTGTGTGTCTGAAAATATTGCGTAACATGAAAATGTGCTGAAGAAGAGACGTTTGATTTTTGTTGCATCACATTTGGTGATGAAATCTGAGGAGTAAAAAAAAGTCAAACTGTGGAGGATCTTTCTGATTCAGCTTCTGTTTCAACACTTCCATAAATATAAAGACACTTTTTGTTTTAAACACTGAAAAGTTGCAACAGAGGTGAAAATATCATCTATTATCTCCATGGTTGTTTTCTGTCTTTTGCAGCTGAACAGATACAGAACCAGTCTTCAAGACTCCTCTCTTCAGAGAGCACCT